TGATCAATCTCCTAACCCTATGGTTCACACAACTCGAATAGACATGAACAATCAAAAGCACTCAATTATAACGAACCTAATCAATCATCCCCTATCCCTAGCGAGTGAATTTAGCTACTCATATGGAATTCAACATCAACAATCACACAAACCCAAGCCATCATCATCAACAAGTAATTGAGAAGAAATAACTTACGATTTATATAGAGAATCCAATGTCAAATTCAATGAACAATCCAAATCCCAAGCGTAGAAAAGGAGTTTTTAATCTCAAGAACCAATCAAAGTGCAAAAAGAAAGAAAAGGAATCGTTTTTTCTCCAGAGAGAACGTAAAAACAAGGTTGGAATCGTGAATAATGAACCCTAGGGTCAAATTCTGCTCTAAAAATCCCGACCTCGAAATTCGCGCCCGACTAAGTCGCGACTCGCGACTCAAGTCGCGAGTCGCGAGATGGACTTTTCATGGGTCGCGAGTCGCGACATCCTCGCGAGTCGCGCGTCGACTTCTTCTTTAAATTCAGGGGTTTGGTCGCGACCTGGCTCGCGAGTCGCGACATCATCTCGCGAGTCGCGACTCGTTCTTCGAAATCTTGTTTAGCTCCAGTTTTTCTCGCGGGTCGCGACATGCTCGCGAGTCGCGACCCGAGTCGCGAGTCGCGAAACTACTCGCGAGTCGCGAGAATTCCTGGGAAGAGATTCTGCTCGGTTTTCCGGTCCTCTTCGTCGTGTTCCTGGCTCGGCCAATGGGAATTCTCGATACCACGGTCTCGGCTCAAACAGTTCCATCCTCGACCGACACAACCTACCTCCTGAAAACACAAATACAGAAAAACACGAAGCAAAACACGGCAAAAAGATACAAAAATATAAACTAAAGACAAAAACACAAAACGAACGAAATGGACCAAATAAACTATAAAAATCCTACAAATGGGGGGAAACAAAAAGAAAATAAACATAAAATAAAGACACAAAAATGGGACAAACACACAACATTCGTAAGCTTCAACTATTTTCTAGAAGTTAGCTTCAGCACCACAGTGCCAACTTCAACCACATCGGACGAGGAGGAGTTGATGTATAGTTTCCAACCAATCTAAGGAGTGTAGTTTGAAACTAGCCCTTATCGGAATAGACAGAACGAGTGGTACCAGTAGCAATTTACTACTCCATTGGATTATCCACAACATTGGCTTCAAACACTAAAACCTACATATCACAAGAGGCTTCTACTTGATCGAGTTTTCTTGCTCCAACAAGTTAGCACGAGCTTCTATCATCCGTGATTTACCCAAAGACTTAAAGTTATCCTCTTCATGATGAAGTTAAAAAAGTAGGTCTTCAATACTCATTCCCTTTTTTGTATGCTTGGTGTAGTTCGTGAAATCTTTTCAACCCGGTAGCAGTTTCTCGACCAGAACCGCAACTTAGAACGACTTGCTCAAAGTCATTCCTTCAGCTTGGATCTCGTGCAAGATGAGTTGAAACTTTTCACTTGAGACATGACGGTCTTGGAGTCAACCATCTTGAAGTCCAGAAACTTGTCGATGATGAATGTCTTTTCCCCAACATTTGTTGTGTTTTACTTATTCTCCGAAGCAGCCCAAAGCTCTTTGATATAACTCATATATCTATACATATTGTACGACTTGTTACTATGTCCGTTCAGGACATAGTTCCGAAAATGGTATTCACCTTGATGGGTCCTCTCCTAGATCTTAAATTGAACTGGACTAATTGAGCTCCGATTTGCCTGAACCGCGTCTGAATCGCCACGAACACCTACAAGCACTCAACGGCGGAGGGGTTTCCAGCGTAGAGCCTCCGATGCTTAAGTCAGTCTCAATAAGAGAGAGAGATGCTCTGCAGAAAGAGCAGTCTAAAATGTATAAAGAGTGTAAAGTTGGGAAATTGTGGTACCTCAACTCCTTTTATAGGAGAAATACCTGCCTCGAGTGTCTTGCCCGAGTGCCCGCGATCAGCCTGCCCGGCTGCCCGGATCTTTCGTGGTTATTCATATCCTAATCACTTCTTTCTCAGATCCTAATCAGCTTAACATTTCATCTTATCCTTTAAAGATTCATCCTTATTCACTAAGCCTGCTAAGTAATGAGGTATAGTTCCTTGGTGTGGAACTTGAGTAATGAGACGAGTGAGGTGAGTGCAGTCGACCTTGAACTGCGAGATGGGTGAAGCCGACCTCGAGCTGCAAAGTGAATGCAGTCGACCTCAAGATATGAGAGGTCGACTATCATTCCTCATGTTTGATAAAAAGGGAGTTGTTATCATTAATCTTTTCTCATCTCCGACCGTTCTCGAGCTGCTCGACTCCTTGTTGATATTGAGCTATTCTGTGCTTCAAGTCGGTCTCATTAGCCAATCTCGCAAGTCGACTCGAGGCCCTTAAGTCCCTATCCCATAAATTGACTTAGGAAACTCGAGTTACGATCATTTCGACGATTATAACAGGTCGGTATGCTTAAATCGAATCGTCATAGGCAACTCGATTTATTGCCCGGTCGAACTGTCAACACTGGTCTACAAGTATGGCTATATCACACCTTTCCCCCCAAGCATCATACCCAGTTGTAGTTTAGGCGTTGGACTCATTTTCAACAATAACAAGGGGGTCGTCCTTTAGGTACTTCACCAAACCCAAGTTGGTTCAATAAAAATGTATCTTTGAGAAACAAGGTTGTTGATCAGTTGAGGTTGTTGAAGTTGCTTAGTATTTGGTCCATCTACAGCTGATGCCATCAATTCCATAGGTACAGATATTTGTCTTGCAATTGTTACAAACTTAGTGTCGAGTTACAACGAGAACCCTATAAACTGAAATGATATGTTTCAGTTATTATAATTTGAGCGAATACCGGAAAACAACAGTAGGAGAAATCTTGATGCAAGAAGAGAATAAGCCAAGGCGAGAGTTGCTCTTTATGCAAGATGAATGGGTTTTTTAATGTGATGACTGAATCAGGTATCTCGTTTTCAGAGATACAATGGCTACGTCTCGGTAAGTTGTAGCACTTTCAAACTTCCAAGCTCCGGAGAATTTGAACGGAGCAAGAATTGAGCACTATGTATGATGCATGAGGCTTTCAATGTCAAGAGTTCAAATGATGTATAACTATGTTCTGCAACTCTAGACCTGTCATATTTATAGGACTTCTGGCTCAGGTAGGGAATTACAACAGTCACCTGCCACTTATGGCAAATATCAATCCACTTAAAGTTGTTCTAACGGGCATAAAACAGCCAGATCCTTTTATCTCGTGTTAAAACAACACTATCTTCACTTACTCCTCAAGTGGAGCCAAAATATCTAGATACATTGCATCTGTAGAGGTCCAAATGGGTTCAGCAAGAACCGGTGTTCTAAAAGTCGCTAGGCGCTCGACCAGCGCCTAAGCAGGGCCTAGAAATCAATATTAAATACTTTATTTTTAACTATTTACAAAATAAAACTATCTCAACTTATAATAAATCCACGCACCTAAGTCGAAATGATAATTTTAATATATTTTAAAGAAAATATTATAACAAAATAATATAATTAGTATTCAAAAAAAAAAATGAAAAATTGTCGTCGAGCCCGCCTAGGAGCACCTGGATCCGCCTATGCCAGCCTAGGCGCCGCCTAATCATCTGGCCTGGGAGCCCGCCAAGTCCGCCTTCGGCCAATTTGTGCAAATCGGAGGCGGTCGGGCACCGCCTAGGCTGATTTTTAGAACAGTGGTAAAAACTTAATTGAAATTGGATTTTTTTCTAGGTTAGAAAAGTGTAAATAAATTTGTATAAAAAAAAATTATAGGGGTTGGACCCAAGCCCAACATCGGCTCGAACCATCCAAGTCCAACCCACAGTGCAATTGTCAAGGACCAAGAACCAAGATTCTAGATACAAAGCCAAGGCCAAGGCTAGTGCCCGTGCAAAGCCGACAGGCTGACCGACAGACAGGCGCGCTCACGGCCGAAGCCAACACCAATACTTGGTGTGGTGCATCATAGTTTAGTTGTTCTTCTGACCTCTCCAATTCTCTTTATTATGTTAAAGAGAGTTATCCTCATTTAACAATTCGTGATATATTTCTTGACCCTTTAAATCCCACAATCACGATTTCAGGTATCTAATAACGGCTAACCCTGATTGTTTATTTCTCACTTATTGAAAATCAGTTTGAGAAAATAAGTACACCATTAGAGTGTGATTGGATATGAATTTGATTGGTTTTTTGATTGATTTGTTTTTTAACCTTAGTTCATTTTGAAAAAGATGGATTTGTTAGTTGTTAGTGGAAATTTAATTTTAAATTAAAATATTATTGAAAATAAAATAATTAAAGTTCATTGATATAAAAGTAGGAGAAAAATTATACGAAGTAATAATTAATTAAAATTATGTGAGCTGATGAATAGTGAATTAAAGTTGATGTGATGTGTAAGAATGATTGATTGATATTATTTAATTATATTGATAATAGTGAAAATAATGGAGTTGTTGAGTTAAGGTTGAGTTTATTTTTTATAACATGATATTGTAGCAATATTATGATGAGTGATCAATTATTTGAAAATGGTCTCTAACATAATTGTAATTCTCCAAGAAACCAGAACCCCAATTTTGTGTTGACTGTTAACGTTTCTCATTTGAGGAACAACCCTGTTTTCCGTCTCCAAGGCATTTTTTATGCAACTTGTTTAGTGATAAAATAATTAACTTAGTGAGATCATTGTTTGATGCCTAATAGTTAGTAAATCATATTTTTGTAAAAATATATCTATGCTTCCAAACTCAAATATCATAATTTAAGAAATAACATAAATAAATGTATGATATGGGATAACATAAATATAAATTTTTATTTAAATAAAAAGACATCACGGTCGACTCTCTTAATATTTTATAACATACTAAATTTTGTAACACACGTAGTAATGGATTTAATCTACGTGGGAGTTAGATATTATAATTAATTGCTGAACTCAAAATATCTTTTCTAACCAATCGTAATTGTGCCAGGATCGCACGCCTGAAATTTCATATTCCAAAGTCCACATGAATATCAACTATAGCAATACTATAATTTACAAATTCATGTGTTTGGCTCAACTTAATTAAAATAAAATACCCACCAGGATTCAATTTATCCAACATCCATCATATCAAATATAATAAGTAATATTTCTAAAGCTCAAATATTAATTATTCTATTTTCTACTATTTTTTTAGAGTAATATATATCTGACCTGGCCAATCAACTCCCACAGGGTGACGTTCCAAGAGGAGGCCGTAGTTATGACTTGAGGAAAACTAGTGGCTCCGGGAAAATTACCGCCGAACTTGACTCCGGGGCCCGTATTTGAAACTCCATGAAGGGCCTCTGACCACCACTCATAGCGCGTAATCCCCAATCTAGGCACAGGCGCCGCATTATTGACAAGTAATAGAATTTTTTCGGTCAAAGTCAGTCTCCAGATTAAATCCCTCACACGATAACCTAAACGGATGGAGGAATTGCAAAACGGGAAGGTTTTGGTCATGGGGTTGGCCGGGTCGCAGGCAAATTGCCGGGACTCGCAAGTGAATAATGATAGGTTGAGGACCGTAATGAAAATATGAAAAAATGTAATTTTGTATGCCATTGTAATCATAACACAAAATGGTGTGTAAATGGAATTTTGAATGTGTGTTACAGTGATTGTGTGGAAGAGTCAAGGACAAGGTGCTTTATATAGAGGTGTTTTGTTGATTGTAAGGGTTATAAACATGGGACGACTCGGTTAGGAGATTCAAAAATCTTTAAAACTAAACAAAAAATTGAAGATTATTAAAAAGAAAAATAAAAAATCACTAAATTAAAGTAGTAACAAAAATCTATAAAGCTCAATTTGGAGATCTTTATATTTGTTTTGTTCTGCACGGGGGCTATTAGTAAGGTTTGAATCGGACATATAGAGATTTTTTAATTATTAATTAGAATTTAAAAGTAAAATTTTATTAATTTTAGAAATGTTTATCAAAATTAATATCCTGTTATAAGAGAATATCAATATATATTTTTAAATTTCAACTTTTATTTTTTATTAATGATTTTGTTGACAAATTAGCATTAAAAAACTTTAGACACAAATCACATTTTTAGTTTAGAATATATCTGTGAAATTTAGTGGCCGTGAAAACTTAAACCCTAATAATATGTCTAATTTTTTATATCATTTTAATTATAAGATAGAATGCTGATTAAACAAAAAATATAGTAATAATAATAAAGGTAATATGTTATTATACAAATATATTCAAGTAATTTATGATTAAAATTGTCATAAAATAAAATGACAAGACACATTAATTAAAATTGTAGTTCGGTTTATAGTTTTAGTTCTTTGATTCGTATGGTATGAGAAAGTTATTTGGTTCAATCCTTGTTACGAATATTTATGAAACGTCTGAAAATTAATGCATATTTTATTTTTTTGGCTCAAGAAAAGGCTCAGTGTGGATTCATTTCAATTCATTTGTTATTTTTCTTCTTCTNATTATATTGAATGAGTGGAGAATGGGTCCCATATATGTAGTTAAATGAATGAGTAGGAATGTGAGTGTGTGTTTAAATGGAGAGAGATTTATTGGAAAGATGATGTGGAGATGATGTGGATGAGAGAGAGTGTTACTTTTTGATTGAATGAATGATTTGTGTGTTAAGGGATGTGGATGCCCTAAAACGGCCTACTAATATAAGTAATGCTCGTATTTTGTGCAACCATTGGGATACTAAAAATATTAATTTATTTTATCTGTGATGTGCTACATAATTTTTCAACTGAACATTATTATCATCATGATTGTCTTTATTAATTTTATGAGAAAGTTGTAAATTTAGTATTGATAGTGCTGCAAATTTAGTTTAAAAGTTAGAAAAAGTAATCCTTCACTTTTTTATATATTTTTTTATTTTTGGCTATTTTGGAAACACAACCATTAATATATTATTATATAATAAGATCAAGAATTTATCTAAAATAGTAAATAAAATTCTACCTAAACATATTAAAATTAATAAATTTGGAAATTTCTAAAATAATTTAAATTTTAAATAAAAATAAGTATAGATTTTATTTCCTTCTTCTAAGGGGTTAGTGAAAAATTAGTTAAAGTAATTATTTTTTTTATCTATCCGGATCTTTTGGGAAGATAGATTTTTTTTTTTCTTATTGTGAATAATGTTTAAATATTTATTCAATACTATTTTTATAAAAAAGCATTGTTTCATTTTTTCAGACTGTGTTTCAAATTTTAATATAATTAATTATAAGTTTTTAAATACATAACTTGTGAGTCTTTACTTTTATCATATTTCCTAAACTCTTTTTATAATTTTGTAATTTTTATATTATTTTACCATTTTTGTTTAATTTTTTTTTCCTTCTTTCCACTTTCAGCTTCTTAATATGTTGATGTGATTATATCCTATATTTGATATTAGTATTATTAGTATTATCCCTTTTCCTTTTTTTCGGGTACATATTAATAGTATTATCCTTTTGAATAGTACATATTTGATGTGATTATAATATTCTTGACAAAATATCTTAATTAGTGATTATATTACTATAAACTCTTACATAGTATGTATTATAAACTATTCAATAACGATAACATTATATACATTTTCATATTTTTAATATATAAGGGCACCCGCATTGCGGGCGTTCAATGCCCGTTGAAGTTAATTGAAATGCCAACTTGGCATATTTCTGCAATGTGGCAGTTCATTTAATTGTGGGCCACCCTGTATCCGTTCAATTCATTGAACGCCCATTTGCTCCATTTTTTTATTTTTTTTGTTTTCTTTTCTTTATTTTGTTTTAAATACTGCACCACATGCTATCTTTTTCTATTTTTTTTTTATTTTAAAATCTTCGTATTTTACAAAAAGCATGGCAGCATGCTTTATTCTTTTTGTATTTTAAAATAATTATTTATTTAGTCTTTAGTCTTTTTATTTTTATATTATATTTATTTTTTATCTATAAAATAATATTATACTATTTTTTGTAACTGTACTATTTTTTCTTGTGTAACCTTAATTTAAGTTATTTTGGTCGTGTAGTGTTTTTTTATTTTTATGCATTTAAAATTTATTGTTATAATTTAAAAATATTAAAATTTATTTTTATTGTGAATAAAATATAAAAAATTATATTGAATGAGTGGAGAATGGGTCCCATATATGTAGTTAAATGAATGAGTAGGAATGTGAGTGTGTGTTTAAATGGAGAGAGATTTATTGGAAAGATGATGTGGAGATGATGTGGATGAGAGAGAGTGTTACTTTTTGATTGAATGAATGATTTGTGTGTTAAGGGATGTGGATGCCCTAAAACGGCCTACTAATATAAGTAATGCTCGTATTTTGTGCAACCATTGGGATACTAAAAATATTAATTTATTTTATCTGTGATGTGCTACATAATTTTTCAACTGAACATTATTATCATCATGATTGTCTTTATTAATTTTATGAGAAAGTTGTAAATTTAGTATTGATAGTGCTGCAAATTTAGTTTAAAAGTTAGAAAAAGTAATCCTTCACTTTTTTATATATTTTTTTATTTTTGGCTATTTTGGAAACACAACCATTAATATATTATTATATAATAAGATCAAGAATTTATCTAAAATAGTAAATAAAATTCTACCTAAACATATTAAAATTAATAAATTTGGAAATTTCTAAAATAATTTAAATTTTAAATAAAAATAAGTATAGATTTTATTTCCTTCTTCTAAGGGGTTAGTGAAAAATTAGTTAAAGTAATTATTTTTTTTATCTATCCGGATCTTTTGGGAAGATAGATTTTTTTTTTTCTTATTGTGAATAATGTTTAAATATTTATTCAATACTATTTTTATAAAAAAGCATTGTTTCATTTTTTCAGACTGTGTTTCAAATTTTAATATAATTAATTATAAGTTTTTAAATACATAACTTGTGAGTCTTTACTTTTATCATATTTCCTAAACTCTTTTTATAATTTTGTAATTTTTATATTATTTTACCATTTTTGTTTAATTTTTTTTTCCTTCTTTCCACTTTCAGCTTCTTAATATGTTGATGTGATTATATCCTATATTTGATATTAGTATTATTAGTATTATCCCTTTTCCTTTTTTTCGGGTACATATTAATAGTATTATCCTTTTGAATAGTACATATTTGATGTGATTATAATATTCTTGACAAAATATCTTAATTAGTGATTATATTACTATAAACTCTTACATAGTATGTATTATAAACTATTCAATAACGATAACATTATATACATTTTCATATTTTTAATATATAAGGGCACCCGCATTGCGGGCGTTCAATGCCCGTTGAAGTTAATTGAAATGCCAACTTGGCATATTTCTGCAATGTGGCAGTTCATTTAATTGTGGGCCACCCTGTATCCGTTCAATTCATTGAACGCCCATTTGCTCCATTTTTTTATTTTTTTTGTTTTCTTTTCTTTATTTTGTTTTAAATACTGCACCACATGCTATCTTTTTCTATTTTTTTATTTTATTTTAAAATCTTCTTTTTAAAATCTTCGTATTTTACAAAAAGCATGGCAGCATGCTTTATTCTTTTTGTATTTTAAAATAATTATTTATTTAGTCTTTAGTCTTTTTATTTTTATATTATATTTATTTTTTATCTATAAAATAATATTATACTATTTTTTGTAACTGTACTATTTTTTCTTGTGTAACCTTAATTTAAGTTATTTTGGTCGTGTAGTGTTTTTTTATTTTTATGCATTTAAAATTTATTGTTATAATTTAAAAATATTAAAATTTATTTTTATTGTGAATAAAATATAAAAAATTATATTGAATGAGTGGAGAATGGGTCCCATATATGTAGTTAAATGAATGAGTAGGAATGTGAGTGTGTGTTTAAATGGAGAGAGATTTATTGGAAAGATGATGTGGAGATGATGTGGATGAGAGAGAGTGTTACTTTTTGATTGAATGAATGATTTGTGTGTTAAGGGATGTGGATGCCCTAAAACGGCCTACTAATATAAGTAATGCTCGTATTTTGTGCAACCATTGGGATACTAAAAATATTAATTTATTTTATCTGTGATGTGCTACATAATTTTTCAACTGAACATTATTATCATCATGATTGTCTTTATTAATTTTATGAGAAAGTTGTAAATTTAGTATTGATAGTGCTGCAAATTTAGTTTAAAAGTTAGAAAAAGTAATCCTTCACTTTTTTATATATTTTTTTATTTTTGGCTATTTTGGAAACACAACCATTAATATATTATTATATAATAAGATCAAGAATTTATCTAAAATAGTAAATAAAATTCTACCTAAACATATTAAAATTAATAAATTTGGAAATTTCTAAAATAATTTAAATTTTAAATAAAAATAAGTATAGATTTTATTTCCTTCTTCTAAGGGGTTAGTGAAAAATTAGTTAAAGTAATTATTTTTTTTATCTATCCGGATCTTTTGGGAAGATAGATTTTTTTTTTTCTTATTGTGAATAATGTTTAAATATTTATTCAATACTATTTTTATAAAAAAGCATTGTTTCATTTTTTCAGACTGTGTTTCAAATTTTAATATAATTAATTATAAGTTTTTAAATACATAACTTGTGAGTCTTTACTTTTATCATATTTCCTAAACTCTTTTTATAATTTTGTAATTTTTATATTATTTTACCATTTTTGTTTAATTTTTTTTTCCTTCTTTCCACTTTCAGCTTCTTAATATGTTGATGTGATTATATCCTATATTTGATATTAGTATTATTAGTATTATCCCTTTTCCTTTTTTTCGGGTACATATTAATAGTATTATCCTTTTGAATAGTACATATTTGATGTGATTATAATATTCTTGACAAAATATCTTAATTAGTGATTGTATTACTATAAATCTTACATAGTATGTAGGGATTTTCTATCGTCAGATTCGCTTCGTACCAGTCTCGTACCTACCTAACATCAGGTTCTCCATTAAAATAATGCCACGTGTCATTTCGAATTTTCATTTAAAAAAATAATTAAATAAAAGTTTGTGTAAGTACTAAACTATCCTTACTTAAAAGAAATTATAAAATATGGTGTTTAACTTTTCTCATATTATTGTTCTACCCTAATCACATTTACATATTACAATTAAGACACAAATTATAAATAAATTGCATTCTTTTCATCTACTCGATCTATTATCTTCATCGCTGTGAAAATCATCCTTTGAATGCTTCTATAGTCGATCAATCAACCAGTGCATATTCGGATTACACGGGTGCTTGCTATTTTGTTTGCTTAATCTTCATATATTCACCAGGTTATTGTTATTTCGTTTACTTATTCTTCGTAGTCGGATTGTGATTTTGAATGTCCGCCTGTTATTTTGTAAAATTTTGTCAATCACTTGTGAAATCATATTCGATCGATGTCTGATTTTTATTTTAGGGTGATCAAAACCGAAAAATCGAGGTAAATATTTTGAACTGCAATCGCATTCTCTATTGTACGTATTTACCCGATATGTTCATTATTTATATTCTTATACGAAATTTGATCTGCTGCGATTCCTTCCTGGTTCTGAAAAATATTTTGGAAATATGTGATGTGAGGGTGTGGATTATTTAAGAGACTCCATTGTTGTATTTGTACTATTATTTGTAAGGCACTTTACATGGTCGTCGAAATGTATGAATGAGGACGACAAATGTGTTTTTATATCTTGTGTTGGTGTTCTTGTTATTGAGAACATACTTGAAGTCATGATAAAGCGAGGATTTATATCTTGTGTTGTTGTTGTTGTGCAATGATTTGAGAACATAGTTGAAGTAATGATGAAGCCAGGATTTGTATTACATTTAGCAACAAGGAAGCACGCACCCATACATATAATACAAATGCCCATTTGAAACAATGATACCTAAACAGAGTTGAATTACTGCTTAAGTGTGGTTTAATATTTTTGATAAAATGATTGGTGTTTGTATTGCTGAGCATTTGTATAGTTCAATTGCTCTGAGTCTTGTGGTACTATTTACAAGGAGTACTGAATGTACATTTCATCAATTTTGAAAGTGTTTTGACAGTGGTTTATTACTGTTTGTGGCCATTTAGTTTCTCTTGATCAGATCGCTGTGGAATGTATGGCTAAAAGAGAGGTGGTATTTCATCAACACTTTAAAGTGATTCTGCTGTTTTCAGGAATTCTTGAAGCACTGTGGCTAGAAGCTGTGAGATGGTATCTTTTCAAAGGAGCGCAATTCTGGCTGGAAAATGTATTTTGGTTCAGATTGAAGAATAACAATCTGGTGGCCAAATTGAATAAGAAGCAGGGGAGTTGGACATTGAAGCAATGTTCTTGTTAGATTTGGAATGGCCTGTCGTAAGGGATGCTTGTAAAGCATTCCAGTAAACAGTTAGCAAGCAGTTGATTGCTCGATGTGTAATATGCTTGAGTTTCAAACTTTGAATATAGTTTTGTTAATCTAAAAAAAAAAAAAATGTTTTGATGTATTGTAGACATTGATATACAATAGAAACACACACAATTGAAGTTGAACTAATGTTTTGATGTATTCCCTCTGAGGTGTTGTTTAATATAACATAATAATGAAGTGAGAGATAACTTCATTATTGGCAGGGGGGTTTTGATGCCGGCAACCTGTGATTGAAGTCTGGTTTAATATAACATAATAATGAAGTGCATGAAGATATATGTTAAAGTATGATGTTTCATTATGAGAATGCAACTTAAAAAATGGGCGTTGGTTTGGCTCGTTTATAAGGTAGAAGGGTACCTGGGGGCAATACTTATGTTTTTGAACCCATTAAAAACCAATACATCAAACATCAACATCAAAACACAAGTTATATAGTAAGGAATTGTAAACACCATTGTTCAAATTTCACAAGAAAATCATGATTGTTCGAATATAAAGCTAAACAATAGATGAAATGAAAACAACCAGCATAGTCTACTAATTGTTCACAAAATAATAGCTTATGCAATCATCCTTAGATTGCACTGACCATTGGTATTTTTGAACAAGAACAAATACAAAATGATGCACACAATTACAAGCATCAAACACATTGACTTCTTTCTATTTGTCTCTACTGCAGTTTGCAACTTCTTGGACTCTATTTCAAACAATCTTCTTTCGTCCGTCAGTTTATCCTTCTCATCTTTCAATTGTTGACCGATGTTACCAAACTCGTGTTGAAGATTGTTGTAATCAATTTCCAACATTCGTTTATCCTCCTTCAGTTTGTCGCTTTCACGTTGTAGATGGTAAATTCGAGCTTGAAAGTCATTAGATTTTTGCAGCAGCGAGGAAATTAATTGCTTTGAACGCCTGCACATAGGACCATCAACCCACGAAAAGAAGTCGCAACCCCCATCCTGCAAAAAAAAAAAAAAAAAAAAAAAAAAAAAAAAAAAAAAAAAAAAAAAAAAAAAAAAAAAAAAAAAAAAAAAAAAAAAAAAAAAAAAAAAAAAAAAAAAAAAAAAAAAAAAAAAAAAAAAAAAAAAAAAAAAAAAAAAAAAAAAAAAAAAAAAAAAAAAAAAAAAAAAAAAAAAAAAAAAAAAAAAAAAAAAAAAAAAAAAAAAAAAAAAAAAAAAAAAAAAAAAAAAAAAAAAAAAAAAAAAAAAAAAAAAAAAAAAAAAAAAAAAAAAAAAAAAAAAAAAAAAAAAAAAAAAAAAAAAAAAAAAAAAAAAAAAAAAAAAAAAAAAAAAAAAAAAAAAAAAAAAAAAAAAAAAAAAAAAAAAAAATTGTGAAAGTCATCTAAAATTAGGGTTCTTCAACAACGATTTATGTGAATCTTACCTTGTAATAATTACATGATTGGAATCGCCTTCCAGGGTTATCCGATGTCCAGGACGTGCGAATGACAGAATCATGTCCACATTTACATACCCTCAACACGGCGTGACGCGAGATGCCGGCCATTTTTTTTGCAGGTTGGGGAAAAAAACCAGTGTTTTTGAAGTCCGTAAACTACTTAGGGTTTTTTGTGAAAAATTTTAGTCAGAAAATGAAGATACTATATAGATTCACCAAAATTTGGAAAGGGCCCCAATTTTTGTTAAGATTTCCCCCCATTTACGTAAAATTTAAATTTAAATTTGAACAAAAAATACAGAATCAACAAGTGATGAAAGGTCATAATAACACCCAATAATTATCATTTGCATTAAACATTAGATATTAGTACATTAGGGACGTTACAATTAATAAAGTTTAACTAATTACCAAACATCCCAAAACAAGCCGTAATAACCAAGTACCAAACATCCCAAAACAATTATCACTTGAACTAACATGATCTTACCGTCTGCCAAAACATCACAGCACATTAACAACAAAAAAATTTACATACGACATAATCAGAAGAACCCCACAACAAGATCTCCACAAAAGTGACATACATCTGATACACCATAGAACAAAAGTCATTTCATACAGCAGATGAAGATTCAGAATCGCTGGGGACATCAAAAGTCGACTGAAGAGCATCGTTGAAACAAAATTTTAGCGGCTTCCCTCATTTCAAATACCAGCATGCATTCGCTGTGCCACTTGAAGCAGTTGTTCGGAGAAATCGTTCAATAGTGTTTTCCTTTATTGTTTTTTCAGGAAAAAATACATAAGCGATTAATATATAATGTAATTGATTGTATTGACTGTACATAGCTAGTTAATGTAAATATATAAATAATTCACCTCGGGCCACGCGTAGAACCGATAGAAGTTGTTCACCCTAACCTCGCCAGTTTTCGAATCGACTTTTGAGCGTGTTCTCTGGAGAAACTTCGTGAAAAGGTTGTAGTGGTTCCTTAGCCTCTGAACTTGTTCTCTAACAGCCCGGTTATCTACAGACCTGCCCAATACTTCCGACAGATCTTGCGCCAGTGGAGACCATATTGAGTTGAACACCTTAAAATTGTGAATGTCGGGCAATGCGAGAGCCTTTTCAAAGAAGAGTTTGTAACACTCCAAGACGTCCTGCTCGCTCCATCCTGGGTTGCGAAAGATTGCCGCCATTTTTAGTACATCATCGTCGTTGTTCGTCATGGCCGTAGTAAAGGTACGAAATAATGAAATTGGCCGAAAAAAGAAAAACCAAGAAAGGATTGTAGGATAAATCTATGTGCAGTGTTGTTTGTAGTGCCAATCCATATTTTGTAAACCGAACACGCAACCACCATCCCCACCTCCTCAATAAATGATACTCATCATTTCAATTGTGGGTAGGTTTTATGATACTCATCATTACAATTGTGGGTAGGTTTTAGACTTTTAGTGCTTAATGACAAAACGAAGTGAGAAGCAAAAATATTTTGTTAAAGACGTTCCTCAGAATATCATCATGACTTTCAAAGTCATGTGCGGGACATACGTGTGGAACTAAATAATCTACAACAACATTTTGTTATCAATATTTGATTTATTGGTCATCGGTTTTATAATGTTTGATATTTAAATACAAATATATCCCCATATATAACTAATTCATTTATTCTGCAATAGCAATCATTACTCAAAAAACCAAATAGTAGAAAATAGTGTTTGGTACATTTAAATACCAAAAAATACGATGATTGGTGCCGAATAAACTAAACAATATCGGTCCAAAAAATACGAACAACTAATTTTCCCAGTCAATCTCAATATCAACTGCAGACTGACCACTGTCCATATAACTCGTTACATATTTCCGTAATTCATCAGTCGTTCTTATTGGAATGTCATAACGCGAGTTCTGTCCGAGCTGACAACTTGCGTAAATAGGCACTGAATCTTTGACTGATGGGCGGATACTGGCATACTTCACTAGGCTGGATAGTGTATCAAAAGTTATGTGTCTCGAGTCAAAGCAGGCACCACTGTAGACTTTATTACATGAATTCCTACCCTTAACGCAGAAACCAATCATAACCCTACAAACATAGAATAATACATTATTAAAGAACATTTAAATGTGAATGTTAAACGAATTTAAAATATGATTTTAAACTACTCATGAAAGCTAATACAGTGTAGATTATGTACAAACATATACGGAAATGTCTTACTTCTCGTTGTATTGTGCTGTGTACATCGTGACAATCAACCTTTCCCTTGCTTCCTTAGACTCATCCTGTTTGCAAAAATTATTAACTTATAAATAATTGTGATTGTACTATGCACATCAATTATACCTGCAAACTTGTAATTACCTCCGTAAGTACACGCCAATTAATTTCTGTTATCGAATTGGAACGACATAACATCTGAAGGCAAACATACAGACCGCAATCGTATCTGCCGAATAATTAATTATAAGTTAGATAAAATCAACACGTAAGTAAGGATTATAATTCAATGTCCGTATATAGTTATACAATGATGATGTCCGTACCCATTGAGTTGTTGTGGAACACTTAGGTCGAACACACACTTGAACGTCGTTGCAATATTTTTAGCGAGAAACCCATCATCATCCCATAAAGAGACAATCCGCTCCAGTCGGCTTATCTGATGAGGAATAATAAAATATTAACAATTACATCCAATCACGGTAAAAAAAATTAAAAATAAACCATAAGGCCGTTTGAAATTCATAAATATCAAAACAAGGAGGTTACCACTTTTTTTGCTTTTTCCAACCTCCCCGCATTTGTTGGTCCCGAAAGCAAGGTATCGCAGATTCGTATAACCGATGTTCGAATATCAACAACGCATATGAACCAGTGCATATTCGAATCCGATATAGGCAAAGTTATACTTAAGCATTCGTCCGCACGATCAGTAAATAGTCCATGTTGGAAGAACATACATTGAATCGATTTGTCACTGTGCGATGACATAGCCATTCCCTGCATTTCACATATAGGGTCATTGAATATATGGTATGATACTTAAAACGTTATTAGGATGTTAATATTTTTAAGTTTCTCACGGTGAATGTTGCCGGTAAAACCCAATGGCGTATTATGCGTCCTGTCGGGGGCCGTTTCATCACTGCTTCATAATTAGGATTCAATGATGCATGTACAGCGACAAAATCAATGACCTACAAAAATAAGGATTGAGACAACAACCAAGAAAGTCAAAATTAAAAGTAAAAAACGATGATTATATTATCTCACAGGACTTGAAAACCAGTGCGGGTATTTAGCACTTAGCAACTCAGCCCTTGACACATTCCATCCGTGATACTTGAGCAATATCTTCCTGGGAAAAATAGTTGTTCGACAATTTTGCTATTAATATACAATTGGCCACCAAAAAGTAAGGATTAAAATGTTTAAACAACACATTAATTTTAATTTTGCCATAGTGTCGTTATCTTACGTAAGATCCAAGGCAGCGTTGAAAATGTAATTGGACACTTCTTCGTCACGAAATGTAATATCTCGAAAATATTCGAACACGTCTATTCCCGTGTTGGTGGTTGCTTCTGGAGAGCCTGATCCTTCTGACAATGCATGAAAATCCAACTTGTTGGGTTTGACTGTACGCTGAAACGTTTCTGCGGCAATATTCCGTTTAAGCGGTGACTCTCTTGCAGGCATATACTCTGCCTTTTCTTTGTTATCATTTTGTCCTTTAAGCAGTGACTCAAAGGCAGGCGTATGCTCTGCCTTTTCTTTCTTATCAATGTGTGACTCTCTTGCAGGCGTATGCGGTGACTCTCTTGCAGGCGTATGCTCTGCCTTTTCTTTTTTATCATTTTTCCCTTTAAGTAGTGAGTCTTTTGCAGCCGTATGTATTGCCTGCTCCTTTTCATCATTGTGTCCTTTGACTGATTCGGACAAGTTTTCATCTTCTGGAGTTGCAACTACTCTGGGCTTATTGTCTCTCAGCAAAGTGATTATAGCGGACACCCCATGACTAACTAAGGTTAGTTGGTCAATGAGCTTGTCTGTGAAATCAGCTTTCATATTTGATTCAATCGGCACATTATCCTTCGACACAGCCTCATCCATCGTCATTTCATCCAACTGATGACGAATTTTCCAGTCCTGCATAAAAACGTATGTACTTATTCAAATGGTCTAAGTTTATTAAATTTAACTGTATATGATTTATAACAATGTATATTTCATTAAGCCAATAAGAAAAACAAATCATTGACGTCCAAAAATCATACTTACAAATTTTTCTTCATAGCCGCCCATTTGTTTAAACACCGTAATGGTTCTACTCATGTCTTGTTGGGTCCACTGCTCTAAATATGGGGATCCAGAATGCAATTGCTTGCAAGGGTAAATTGTCGTCACATAACTGATGAAAACCACCTGTAGTTGTTTAAAATTAAATTTCACATAGATCTGTAAATAATTTCAAAATATATCAGCCATGTTAAAAAAATTATTACCTGCAACAATAAAATGCAACCCGTGACATAAGAGTATTTGCGTGATTGCACGGCCTTTGCGCCTAAATCAAGCCTACGCAGAATTATTTCACACCAATTGTAGTCTTGTACTGCATTCAAATCATCCAAGTAGTCTAGATACTCATAATCTATAGACAACTTATCCTTAGTTCGTGGAAACAACACTGTCGCAAACAGTAGCATCAAATAGGGTACGACGAATTCAGGTCCGGTTGTCTCGCACTTTGAAACAAGTTTATGCAGCTCAGAATACACCATCATTTTCCCATTTTTATCGGCAAATAAACTTTTATACTTCTTTTTACCCTCATCAATATTCTTCGGAAGTATCATACCGTCCCTCGACAAACCAAAATGTGACTCAACAACTTGTAGTGATAGAGGTATTGAAACACCACCGACGTTTATACTCCGGGATTTATTGTCATAATTTTTTATAATCATACTCACTAATTTAGAATCAATCTGGGACACAGTAAGACGAGGAAACGTCCCAAATCCTATCTTTTCAAGTTCACGGCGCTGACTTGATTTCATGTTGTTATTGATTTCCACTATTGTCTTGAGTTTGGTCCGATGCAGCAGGTTTGCGTCATCCATAGAAAATCTTGGTGAATGAGTTGATTCTCTCCTACTTCTTTTTGTATTCGCCGGAGAATTCTACGAGATGTATGAAAGTATAACATTCAAGATTTAAAACATATACGAGAAACAATATTCATAACGAAAGCAATAACTATGGATGGAATATTCAAGATTTAGGCTTTTTTACCTCAGCAATACCAGACATATTGTGGCAAATAATGCGCCGATCACTTTGATAATGTTGATGCCGGTTATACAACGAACGTGGAGGTAATATAATGTGTTGTGATGTTAGTAGATGGGAGGTTCACACAAGATAACTACGACATGGAATAGTCAGTTGAGATTTTTAGGTGATACGTTATTGACTAAATATCTGCAATATCGCACTTGCCATAAATATTTTATACTTATTTTATTATAGGACTACTGTATTATAGACAAAAAATATTGTTCAAATCTGCAATATCGCACTTACCATAAATTTTTTATACTTAAATATTAAAGGACTACTGTATTATGGACAAAAAATATTTGTTTAACAATAAATTAAAATATTGGTTTAACAATAAATTTGGGACCGATAATTAATGAAATCATAATTTAGGAAATTTGAATTTAATGTTATACATGGTCAAGATTCATGTGTGATAGTATTACATGATTAGATATTTCGACATTATCATCTGTATACCTTGTATATTGCAACAAATAATGTGGTATATATATATATATATATATATATATATATATATATATATATATATATAAATATTCCTAACTTGTAATATTTATTGTTTTAATTAATAAAGTAATATAATAATGATGTTATTAAAAAATAGTTATATAATAATGTAATATATGTATAAATATATATACCTACCCACGTGATTTTAGTTTTAATAAATATATATTTGTCATATTATTTGATTGAAATTAATTTAAAAAATTTGAGAAAAATATATTTGGCTTTATGTCGTTAATGAATGTTTCGAGTAATCGAAATGCATTAGTACAACTGCAACACCCGTGTACTACACGGGTAGTGAATTAAGAAATATTACATCAACATATTTAAATATAAATCGAACCGAATTGACTATTGTTTGGTAAAATTAGTTGATAAGCTAGCTGATAGCTGATAAGCTAGCTTATAGCGTATTTAAATAATGTAATATTTGAAAACTGATATTTTTTGGGATTAGTGTCATAATATCAAATGTCAACTAAAACCTTAACTGTTGATCATAAATTTTAC